ACAGGGGAAGAAGAGGGAAACAGACTAGATAGGCAATGTGGTGGGAGGGGCTCAGAGCTTCATCCAGGCGACCCCCAGACTTGGGACATATGGTTCTAGATGGACATTGGTGTCATTCACTAGGACAGGCAATGCCAGAAGAGGACCACATTGTAGGGGGAGGTCCTAATTTAGTTTAGGGAATACTGAATTTAAGATGTTTCTTCTCCAACAGAGGCCCCAAGAAAGCAGTTGTGCCTGCACCTCTGACCTCAAAGGAAAAACCCACTACAATCCACTACAGGTAAAAATCCATGAATCATCTCTGTAGAGGGGGCACCTGAAGCCATAGTTGTGGATGCGGCCACCTAACACCACTTGGATCATTTGTAAACTTAAAAAAATTGTTTACCTGATTGTGTATTCTTGTTCTGTATCCAAGTCAACAAATAAATATTTAATTTTTGTTTTGTTTTATTTATTTCTTTAAAGTAATCTCTACATCCAGCGTGGGACTTGAACTCACAATGCTGAGATCAAGAGCCGCATGCTCTTCTGACTGAGCCAACCGGGTGCCTCCAACAGATAAATATTTTAAACTTTTTATGCTGTTCCTGAAGATTTTATATCTCTGAAAGTATGGCAAGAAGTCATCTGGCCACAGAGGCCATGCGTTCAAGAGAAGCTTTCACTCAGAGAAATCTCCGGAAACCTGAATGTATTAGTTATACATAGCTGTGTAACAAATTATTCCGAAATTTAGCAGCTCAGAACAACAAATGTCTTATCTCATAGTTTCTGCAGGTGAGGAATTCAGGAGCCACTGAGCCGGGTGCTCCTGGGTCCGGGTTCCACATGAGGTTGCAGTCAGGAGGTTGGCTGGGGCCACCATCACCTGAATGCTGCACTGGGGCTGAAGGAGCTGCTTCCATTCACAGGTGGCGGCAGAAGGCCTCAGTCTTTGCCACATAGACCTGTCCATAGAGCTGCTTGAGCGTCCCCACAACATGGCACCTGGCTTCCCCAGAGCCAGTGATCTGAGAGAGAGGTTGGAGCCACAACTTTTATGTGCTAATTTCAGCTGTCACACATGGGCTTTTCCACCACATTCTATTCACAAAAAAATGAGGCACTAAGTCCAGGCCATGCATGACAGGAGGGGAATTAGGCTTCACCTTTGGAAGGGAGGAGTATCAACGAATTTGTGGACATTTTTTAAACCTCTTGTGGAAATCACATAGTTTAGTTCTTTGACATGAAACAGCTCCTTCCTCTAGGCTTCTCCATGGCCTTCTCCATTCAGAGGGAGTGGCATTGGACCCACATCTGCTGATTTCCCCAGCTTTTATACCCACCTGTTCTTAAGCCCAGAGCTTTCATTGCATCCTTCTGAGAACACAAAGGGTGAAGTTCAAGTTGAGAAATAACGCCGATGAGGACCTGGCTGTCTACACTGGTTCTCATGGCTTCCTTTATCTTCATCCTCCAGATTCTGGTCCTCAGCCTGCCCATCTGGGAACAATATGCCATCACATCCTCAGAGAGGACCAGGCTCTGGTGATGTAGTCCCCACTGAACTCATTTTTGAGAGACTAGTTTATAAACACCTAGACTAATTTTTTAAACCAGGATACTGATGTGCTTGTGGCTGCCCCCGGAATCCTCGGGCCTGAGGAATGCAGGTCCATTCAGAGCTATACCAAACACTCTGGGCAGCTCGAAGGGGCGAGTTGCACACAAATACCCAAGGGCTCTTTCCTTGGGAAACAGGACAGAGGAGTAGAGGTGAAGGCCTTTGGAGAACCCATGGTGTCCGTGCCTGGCTTCCTCCAGCCACACTGAGGACCTCAACACACAAGCTCAGTCCTGCCTGGTTCTGGACCAATCTGGACCAAGGCAAGTAAAATATTTCTACCCTTCAGGGTCTGGAACTCAGCTAGTCGTAGGAATCCTGATATCCAAGATGCCAGCTTGGACAGTCTCTGGGCACCAGGGCTGTATTAGTTAGAGTACACATCCAAAATAACAAGGGCTTTTATACAGGCTCCAAGCCCAGCATGGAGCCCAATGTGGGGCTTGAATTCATGACCCTGAGATCAAGACCTGAGATTGGAGGCTTAACCGACTGAGCCACCCAGGTGCCCTAACGGTGGCTTTTAAAAAATTAATTTCTCTCTCCTGTCACAGGCCAGACATAAGCCATCCAGGCTGGGAGGAAGGTGTCTCCACAGCATCAGAGACCTAAGAGTATTCTTTTGCTAGGTCTGTCATCCTTTGGGCATTTCCTTTGTCCTCATAATCCAAGATTTCTGTCATCATGTCCCATTCCAGCCATTGGGAGGTGAGGGCCTGCTGCTTCTTTCCCTTAAGGACACAACCCAGAGGGTACCCATTTCTCTGTAATTCACATCCTACTGGCCAGAACCTGGCGGATGGCCACACCTGGCTGCAAGGGAGGCTAGGGGATGTAGGCTTGATTCTGGGTAGCCACTGGCGCAGCTAAAAAGCTGGTGTGTCTTGGTATAAGAAAGGAAATACATGTATAGGGCAACCCAACCAGCAGTTTCCACCATCAGAATGTTGTCTACTCCTTGCCACAATCACGATAAGGATAATTTACATTTATCAAGGGCATTCCAGGCACCAGGCACTGTGCAAAGGTCTGACCAGTATTATAGCCCAGTGTGCACTACAAGCCTGTTAGTATTCCTGCTTACACAGGAGTAAACCGAGATTCAGAAATATCAGCAACTCTTTCCAGTTCACTCAACAAGGCAGGTCAAAGCCTGCATTTAGACCACCCAGCTAATTCCACATCGAAACCATGATCTAGAGCAGCGCCGTCTGCTAGAAACAGAACGCAAGTCACATATGTAATTTTAAATATTCTAGTGGCCACATTTTTTAGAAGTTTCAAAAAATTAACTTATGGTATACATTATAATAAAAGATATTTTATTTAACCCAATTATTCCAAATATTATCATTTCAACATGTAATCAATATAAAACATTATTAATGAGGGGCACCTGGGTGGCTCAGTTGGTTGAGTGTCTGCCTTTGGCTTGGGTCATGATCCCAGGGTCCTGGGATGGAGCCCTGCATCAGGCTCCCTGCTCAGTGGAGAGTCTGCTCCTCCCTCTGCCCCTCTCCCCTGCTCATGCGTGCCCTTGCTCTCTCTCTCTCTCAAATAAATAAATAAGATCTTTAAATAATAATAATAGGGTGCCTGGGTGGCTCAGTTGGTTAAGCGACTGCCTTCGGCTCGGGTCATGATCCCAGAGTCCTGGGATCGAGTCCCACATCAGGATCCCGGCTCAGTGGGGACCCTGCTTCTCCCTCTGACCCTCTCCCCTCTCATGCTGTTTCTCTCTCTCTCTCTCTCTCAAATAAATAAATAAATAAAATCTTTAAAAATAAATAAATATTATTATTATTATTATTATTATTAATGAGATCATTTGCGTTCTTCTGTGGGTCTCTAACCAACACTCTAGTGCCTAGATGCTTCACATGTATCAACTCATTTCATTGTCACAGCTGACCTGGGGTCCAATAGTCCTTCTGCATGGTTTTCTTCCTTTTTTTTTTTTTTTTAAAGATTATTTATTTGAGAGAGAGAGAAAGAGTGCGAGCAAGTTGGGGGAGAGGCTGAGGGAGAGAATCTCAAACAGACTCCCCACTGAGCACGGGGCCCAACGCGGGGCTCGATCTCATCATCCGGAGATCACAACCTGAGCCGAAATCAAGAGTCAGACACTCAACAGACTGAGCCATCCAGGCACCCCCTGCAGGGTTTTACACTCATTTGACAAACTAGCAAACTGAAGTGCAGAGGTCAGGCAACCTGCCCAAGGTCACAAAAGGCTCAAAGTCAACTTGAGTGGACAGAGTATAAATCTGCACCCAGTTTAGGTTGGGATCTCTACTGGCTGTGGGACCCTAAGCAAATCCCTGCAACCTCTCTCCTTGTTTCCTTTGTTCATTCAGTAAGCAGTGAGCTGAGAGCCTGCCATGTGTCAGGCACCAGGATCTAAAGACACACATGTCATCTCCCTATGGAGCTTACAGTAAAATGTGCTGGAGAGATACCGACTAACCCAAGACTGACAGAAATATATGTGAAATTAAAGTTGTAATGAGGGTCACAAAAGACAGATCCTGGAGGTCAGAGAAGACAGACCCAAAATGAAACAGTAAAGAATTGGGGTTAGCTCTGTGAAGAGGGGACCGGTCCAGGTGGGGGCCCCAGTGGTGATGTAAAGCCGTGTGGCCAACAGACTCGGTGTGGCCACAGAAAGAACAAAAGGTGAGGATGGGAATGTCCGGTGAGCGTCTTGAGGAACCCACTGAAAGTGTTCTAAGCAGGAGGTGGGGCTGACACGACCGTATTTGAGTTTCAAACAGATCACAGCTGCCCCACTGGGGAGGACAATGTGGGGAGTGGAGGCCGATAGCAGTAATGCCACACAAGGTTGCTGTAAGAAGTGAGGATAAGACAGAAGAGGCCCCAGCGTGGTGCCCAGCTCCCTCGGTGCGCAGCAGATCCCAGCTGCTCTTCTTATGCTCTTATTATTGGGCGCTCCCAGGGTTTACTGTCTTTGTAACCCATCTCCCTTTCCACCACAGATCGAATCCAGTGCCTCAGACATTATGGTAACTCAATAAACAGTAGTTAATTGGTTCAAGGTTCATGGCTTTGTGTTTTTGTTTGTTCGTTTGTTTTTGTTTTTTAATTTTGCCTCCCCCGATCCAGAGAGCCCTAGTTTCACATAGCAACGGACAGGGAGGGAATCTGGGAAGGACAATTTGAATAACTGGACTGCGCCACTCTGCCGCCACCTGGTGGCAACATGACTACAGCGGAGAACAATGGTTCCGGGCGACATTAGTGTCAAAAATAAATGAAAAGATAACACTACTAACAGTACACTTAAAGATGGTAAATTTTACCGTATGTGTCTTTACCACGATAAAAAAATAATTAAAGTGAGAGGAGCCTGCAGCGACAGCGACGCAAGATGGCAGCCACGACGGGCTCAGGAGTAAAAGTCCCTCACAATTTTCGACTGTTGGAAGAACTGGAAGAAGGCCAGAAAGGAGTAGGAGATGGCACAGTTAGCTGGGGTCTAGAAGATGACGAAGACATGACACTTACAAGATGGACAGGGATGATAATTGGGCCTCCAAGAACAATTTATGAAAACCGAATATACAGCCTTAAAATAGAATGTGGACCTAAATACCCAGAAGCACCCCCTTTTGTAAGATTTGTAACAAAAATTAATATGAATGGAGTTAATAGTTCTAATGGAGTGGTGGACCCAAGAGCCATATCAGTGCTAGCAAAATGGCAGAATTCATATAGCATCAAAGTTGTCCTGCAAGAGCTCCGGTGCCTAATGATGTCTAAAGAAAACATGAAACTCCCTCAGCCGCCTGAAGGACAGTAATCAAAAAGAGAAACCACAGGCCCTCCCCCCTCCCCCCCATTCGATTTAAGCAGTCATTTTCCACAGTAGTACATTTTCTAGATACGTCTTGTAGACCTCAAAGTACTGGAAAGGAAGCTCCCATTCAAAGGCAATTTATCTTAAGATACTGTAAACGATACTAATTTTTTTGTCCATTTGAAATATATAAGTTGTGCTATAACAAAAAAAAAAAGTGAGAGGAGCCTGGGTGGCTCAGCCGTTAAGCATCTGCCTTTGGCTCAGGTCATGATCTCAGGGTCCTGGGATAGAGCCCAGCATCAGGCTCCCTGCTCCGTGGGAGGCCTGCTTCTCCCTCTCCCACTCTCCTTGCTTGTGTTCCTGCTCTCGCTGTGTCCCTCTCTGTCAAATAAATAAATCTTAAAAAAAAATGTATGTGGGGTGGGCATCTGGGCTGGATTGGGATCTGCCTTTGCCATTTAGCTGAGAACTTTCCCTGGACTTCTCACCTCCCTCTCGGAGCTTCCGAATTCACGTTTGGGAAGAAACAGAAGTAACTATTCCATGAACTCAGGGATTGTGCTATCATTACAGACACAGCAAATGTAAAAGGGCTGTCCCAGAGCAAGGGTACAGCCCACAGGACACAAGAGCTCGCTCAGAACACCAGCTGTTCCGGAACCTTCCTGGGGAGTAGCCCATCCCTGACCACATAGACCAGGAGGTGCCCTTCCCTGCACCATAGGCAGCCCAGGTTTTCACCCACAGATTTTAGCATGTTGCTGCTCAGGACATTGCTTATATTTTATTCCCTGACTATATAGTTCCTTTGAGATGACAAGCCACTCGAAAAAGTAGTGACAGGCACTCCCACCCTCCCCCACGCCCTTCAGGATAATAAGGTTTATTCACAGCTTAACAGGAATTATATTAATTATATAGTACCTCAAATTGAAGATTGTGGACATTTATATTAGACTATATTGCTTATAACACACATAACCTTGTTTAAAATAAAAGTTTTATTGGGATAATTCACCCTATAAAATGGTACAATTCAGTAGTTTTTACTATTTTCACAATGGCATATATTCACACTGTTGGGCAACCATCACCACTATACAATTTTAGAACATTTTCATCACCCCAAAAAGAAACCCTATACCCATTAACACTCACTCCCCATTCTTCCCTCCCCCAACTCCTGGCAACCAGTAATCTATTCTCGGTCTCTATGGATTTGCCTCTCCTGGACATTTTATTTAAGTGGAATCATACACTATGTGGCCTTCTGTTTCTGTGTTCTTTCTTTCTTTATCTAAAGATTTTATTTATTTATTTGTCAGAGAGAGAGAGAGAGAGGGAGAGAGCACAAGCAGGGGTAGCGGCAGGCAGAGGAGAAGCAGGCTCCTCACTGAGTGAGGAGCCCGATGCAGGACTCAATCCCAGGACCTTGGGATCATGACCAGAGCCAAAGGCAGACACTTAACTGACTGAGCCACCCAGGCATCCCTCTTTCTTTCTTCTTTGAGAGAGAGGGAGGACACGCAGGAGAATGCGAGGGGTGGGGGCAGAGAAAGAATCCCAAGCAGAGAATCCGAAGAACCCTATGCAGGGCTTGGGCTCAATCTCACAACTCTGAGATCATGACCTGAGCCAAAATCAAGAGTCAGATACTCAACTGATTGAGCCACCCAAGCATCCCGTTCATCTTTTTTATTACAGCCTTCCTAGTGGGCGTGAAGTGACAAGATTTGCATCTTCCTAAAGACTGATGAGGTTAAGCATATTTTCATGTGCTTATTGGCTATTTGTGTATCTTCTTTGGGGAAATGTCCATTCAAGTCCTTTGCCCTTCTACATTAGGTTATTTGTCTTTTTGTTGTTGAGTTGTGAGAGTTCTTTATAGTTCCAGATACTAGACCTTTAACAGATATATGATTTGCAAGTATTTTCTCCTGTGGATTATCTTTTCACTTTCTTGATAGCACTCTTTGATGCACAAACATTTTTAGTATGTGATCTTTTAAAGTGAATGTTTGATTTATTATAAAAGTGACATATTTTATTACATTCATGAGTTAAAAAGAGAAAATCGTTGTCTTGTGGTTGGGTACAATTCGGCTGCCATTCCTAATAAACTCTAAGTAAAACAGAACTGGAAGAAAACAACCAAACCCTGATTATGCATTCTTAACAAAACCAGTAGCAACCACCAAACCACATGAGGCCATGCCAAAGCCACTGCTCTTAGGAACAGCAAAAGGGCAAGATGCCCATTGTGATTCAACTGTGATTTTTTTTTAAGATTTTATTTATTTTATTAACTGAGAGAGAGTGAAAGTAAAAGAGATCACAGAGGGAGAGGGAGAAGCAGACTCGCTGCTGAGCGGAGAGCCCGATGAGGGGCTCCATCCCAGGACCCTGAGATCACAACCTGAGCTGAAGGCAGATGCTTAACCAACTGAGCCACCCAGGTGCCCTCAACTGTGATTTCAAGGTTTGGATCAATGCACTGAGATAGGAAAATAGAAGTATTAATATCAATATTTGAAAAGAAGGGGGAAAAGATACCTTTATTTGTCACAATATAATCTAGAAAATCCGAGGCTCTCCTAAAACATTAAAATTAATAAAAGGATTTGGCAAAAATGATTGACTTCAAGAAATATGTACCAAAAAAATCAATAGCTGGGGCACCTGGGTGGCTCAGTCAGTTGAGTGTCTGACTCTTGGTTTCAGCTCAGGTCATGATCTCAGGGTCATGAGATCGAGCCCCACGTTGGGCTCCGTGCTCAGCGGGGAGTCTGCTTGAGATTCTCTCTCTCCCTCTGCCCCTCCCCACCCTCAAATAAATAAAAAAACAAAACAAAACAAAACAACCCAATAGCTTTTCTTCGAACTGGCAATGACCAAATAGAAATCAGTGTGGGGAAAATATCCCATTCACAAGAACAACAAAAAATATTATGTCACTAATTTGAACAAAAACAGGATCTATATGCAAAAAACTAGAAAGTTGTATTTAAGGACATAAACACAAGGCCTAGAGAAATGAAGAGATATCAAGATCCTTCTTGGAATGCTTTCTACCATTAAAATATCAATTCTTGGGGCACCTGGCTGGCTGGGTCAGTGGAGCATGCGGTTCTTGATCTTGGGGTTTTGAGTCCAAGCCCCACACTAGGTGTGATTACTTAAAAATATAATCTTTTTATTAAAAAAATCTATCAATTCTTACCAAGTAAATAAAAATTTTAAATACCTCCAATCAGAATGGCCTGAGATTGGATGGAAAACATAAAATGATTTTAAAGTCTAAAATTGTTTCTTGGGGCGCCTGGGTGGCTCAGTCGTTAAGCGTCTGCCTTCAGCTCAGGTCATGATCCCAGGGTCTTGGGATCGAGCCCCACGTCGGGCTCCCTGCTCCGTGGGAAGCCTGCTTCTCCCTCTCCCACTCCTTCTGCTTGTGTTCCCTCTCTCGCTATGTCTCTGTCAAATAAATAAATAAAATCTTTTTTTTTATTGTTATGTTAACCACCATACATTACATCATTAGTTTTTGATGCAGTGTTCCATGATTCATTGTTTGTGCATAACACCCAGTGCTCCACGCAGAATGTGCCCTCTTTAATACCCATCACCAGGCTAACCCATCCCCAAATAAATAAAATTGTTTCTTAAAAAATGTTTTAAAAATAGCAAAATGCTTCAACAGCTTTTAAAAGTAACTATAAAGTTACTTGGAGCAAAGACTGCTAAGTTCTCAGCCATCATTAACTCTCTCCTTTCTTACTAACAAAGTTTATATATTAATGAGGATAGCAGTGTGTCACCCCAATAATATTACAACATTATAATTTATAAACTTGCATTTCCTGGCCTCCCTTAAAGATGTGGCTTTGTGACTAAAATCTAAAAGTTGTTGGGAAGGGTTTACAGAATGACTCCTTCAGAGAGGAATAGATGAAGGTTTGAAAAAGTCTTTCCCCCCTTTCCTCCTACTTGGAATATGAGTGTGATGGTTGGCACCCCAGAAGCCATCTTGGACTCTGAGCTGAACTTAAGTATGGATGCTAATACGAGGATAGTGGAACAGAAAGATGGAAGGATCTAGTCCCTGATGAACATGAAGCCACCACATCAGCCCTGGGCTGCCTATTCCCTGTCAGATAAATAAACTTCTGTTTTGTCCAAGTCACTGTTATTTTAGGATTTGGCTGTATGTTCCTGATCCAAAACCTCTTGGACACTACTATAATCAAAAAAATTATTATCCTGACACAGAAAAGGCAACGAATACATCAGTGGAACGTAAAAAAAAAAAAAAAATCCAGAAATAGATCCAAGTATTTATGGGGACTTAATACATGAAAAGATCACAGTTCAATTCACTTGGAGAAAAACGGTTCCTTCACTAAGTTTACCTGACATACTGTCTGTTTGTCTGGAAGAAAACAAAGCTAAATCCTTCCTTACATCATAAATAACATTACTTCCAGGTGAAGTAGAGCTCTAAAGGTGAAGTGTAAAACAATTAAATTAATAAAAGAGAAGTTAGAAGAATATTTGCATAAATAAGCTTAGATTGGGGAGACTTTATTAAGCAAAGCGGGAAACCAAAAAGCCACAAAGGAAAAGACAGACATAAAAATGGTAGGGGCACCTGGCTGACTCAGTCGGTGGAGCACGTGACTCTTGATCTCAGGGTTGCGAGTTCAAGCCCCACAGTGGGTGTAGAGATTACTTGAAAACAAAATCTTAAAAAAAGATTGTAACACTTTGGTAGAGGAAACTACAAAGTTAAAATACAGATTGGAAAAAGTCTGGGTGCAACACACTTGCTGGACAGTGGTTATCATCTGATGGGGTCTGCAAACATTTTCTGTAAATGACACATGGTAGATATTTGAGGTTTAAGGGTCATAAGGTCTCTGCCACAACCACTCAAGGCTGTCTTTGTAGCACAAACTCAGCCATAGACCATAAACAAATGAGCACAGCTGCATTCCAATAAAATGTTATGCATACTGAAATTTGGATTTCATATCATTTCCATACATCTCGAAATATTCTTCTTCTTTTGATTTTTTTCAACCATTTAAAAATGTAAAGAATATTCTTAATTTGAAGGCCTTACAGAAACAGGCAGCTGGCCAGTTTGGGCCTAAGGGCCATAGTTTGCGAACTCTGGTCTATGATATACAAAGAGCTCCTGCTACTTGGTCGTAAAAGTCAAAGGACAAAGGATGTAGACATGCCAGGGGCAGAAGAGGAAACCCAAAAGGTCACTAAGCATTTGTAACAGGATGTGGAATGAGATTTTTCCTGTTACCTGTGCACAATATGCGACAAATAGAGAGTATTGACACCCTCTTGAAAGCTTCCTATAGGATGCCTGGGTGGCTTAGTCCTTAAGCGTCTGCCTTCGGCTCAGGTCATGATCCCAGGGTCCTGGGATCGAGCCCCGCACTGGGCTCCCTGCTGAGCGGGGAATCTACTTCTCCCTCTCCC